AGCTTCTGATTCTGTCAGTCATGGGCACCGCTGGAGAAATTGAATTTTTAACCCATTCCCAGATGGTGCTGATGCTGCTGTTTTAGAGATCACCCTTTGAGAGCCACTGTTCTAGAGTATGAGAAACAAGAACTATAGACACACAAAGAAGACACTTCAGTTCAGCTAAAATGATTGCCTTACTGATGCTGCTAGAAAGTTGACATTACTCCTCGGTGAGTGGTCCTGGAGACTGAGAGCAAAACCACTTGGCATTGTACATGTGTGTGCATAAAATGTGTAGCTCTCATTTTAGAATGGGGAGGGGCGAGGGGGATCATTCCTTATCAACAAGTTAGGGCCAGAGAAACTGCTGTCCACCTGCCTGGGATGAGTTTTGGTTCTGCCACTGACTAACTTTGCGATGTGGGGCAGATAATTTCAAGACTCTGTGAATCACTTAACTCACTTATAAAATGGAAATAACAATAAGAGCACCTACTTCATAAGGTCTTTGTATTAAATGGGCTAATATTTTTCAAGTCCTCAGATCAATACTGGGTACTCAAAACATGTAATACAAATGGAAAATGCCTGATTACAAGAACACTTTATTGCTATGTAAAATATTTGGGTTCTGCCACCAAGGGTGGGCCAAATCAGATAAACATCATAGAGAATTTTATTTTAACAAAGCTGATGATGGTCTGATTGTGTTGCATGGTATGACATAACACTATGCTTTTTCCTACTTCTCAGAGAATGCCTTGTGATTTTTAACACTTATGTTCTCCCCTGCTGGAGGGCTTGAGTCTTGAGCTCTTGTTCCTATTTCCTTGACTAAAGACGACATCTTGTTCGTGCTCACTTTATTGGCTTTTTTTGTTTTTTTTTTTTTTGAGACGGGAGTCTTGCTCTGTAGCCCGGCCCTGGAGTGCAGTGGCCCGGATCTCAGCTCACTGCAAGCTCCGCCTCCCGGGGTTTGCGCCATTCTCCTGCCTCAGCCCCTGAGGTAGCTGGGACACAGGCGCCCACCACCTCGCCCGCCCCCTATTTTTTGATATTTTTTATAGTAGAGGACGGGGTTATCCCCGTGTTACGACAGGATTGGTCTCCGGATCTCCTGACCTCGGATCCGCCCGTCTCTGCCATCCCAAAGTGCTGGGAGATTACAGGCTTGAGCCACCGCGCGCCGGCCTATTGGCTTTTATATATTTATCATATACTCCATTGTTTCTTGTATACATAGACATGAGGACAGAGAATTAATGGGAAACAGCAAACGAAGATATAATCTCTACAAAAGTGTCTTATCTTTCATCATTTCGCTGTCTAGCGAATGCATCGCCGTCAAATCAATACCAGTCAATCTATCTATCCTCTATATCCTATCTAAATCTAATTGAAATCCTATCAATCGATCAAATGAGTCTAATCTATGCTATAATCTATCCATCTTCAAATCTATGTCGTCTATGCAGCTACTACACTTACCATCCTACCTAGTTGTCTATCAATCAATCTATCCTAATCATATCTAACCTGACCCATCTATCTACCTTCCTGTTAGAGTAGGCAAATAGCTAGACATGAGTAGAAGTGGGAGCCCCCTGAGAAAGAGGAGATCTGAAAGTCTTACGCCCCAAGAGACTATCCAAAAACATGCATACTAGATATGAGCAGACAGGAGGAGAAATACCTATGCAGAAAGCAACGCCCCTTAAGATGCCCAGTCATCTCTCACTCTACAGTTAAAATGTCAGAATGTTCCTAGGTACGATGCTGATAAGGAAGGAGAAGCACAAAAGGGGACATTCCTAAGAAATATGCAGGCACAGTAAGTACAGATTTGACTGCTATACAACCTTTCTGGGATGGCGTTAACAAGGAATGCAGCTGTTAGTTAGAACGTGTGTCCAACACCAGGCTCATGCATGCGCACCAACTAATATTAAGAGAGGGTCTCACAAGCCTGGAGTGGGGACCAGGAGGGAAAAGATGGGGACTTAAGGCAGAAGAAGGAAAAATTAGACAAGGAAAAAAGGCGGAAGACTTAAGAAAGAGGCAGGAACTTCAAGAAAAATCTGACATACTAAAAACCCAATGCAGAATGGGTGCTGCTGTCTTCATTCTCTTACAGCAATGCACTCTGCCTCATCTTTCAGAGGGTATTGTCTCTCTACATGAACTCTCTGCTCTCGATTTTCTTTCATGAATTTTTTTTTTTTTTTTTTTTTTTTTATGGCTAAATTGTCACTCGGCAGAATCCTTTCTCCTAAGTAAGACTAAGAACTGAGGATTCCTGCCCTTCCCAATAGCATATCTACCTACCTGTTTGAACTTTCCCCTAGTCTGTGTAGTACTTTGTCATTCTGAGATATGTCATTTGAAAAGCAGAAGTTTTAATTTTGATGAATAGAATTTGTTTTTTTTTTAAGTTTAATGCTTTTTGTGTCCTAAGAAATCTTTTCCCATCTCAAGATTGTAAAGATATTATCTCCTGTAATAGAAGTTTTATGATTTTTTAACCTTTATGTTGAGTTATTTAATACATTTCAAATAAATTTTTGTGTAAGGTGTGAGACAGGGATTGAGGATCATTTTTTCCCCATCAAGGTCCAATTGTTTCAGCATTGACAACTGAATAAAACGTCTACACTTGCTTCGTTAAAATGCCTTAGTGTCTTTGTGAAAGTGAATTGACCATATGAATTTGGATCTATTTCTGCAGTCAATTCTGTTTCTGTATCCTATGTGTCTATCCTTACACCAAAACCACACTGTCTTGATTTTTGTACCTTTATATAGGAAGTCTTGAAGTTAGGCAGTGAAAGTCCTCTGATTTTTCCTAGAATTGCTTGGCTATATCTCAGGTCCTTTGCATATCCACATGCATTTTAATATAGCTTATTAATTTTTATAAAATAATCTGATAGGATTTTAATCATGAATACCTTGAAGCTGAGATCAGTTTGGGAAAATGCTTATCTTAATATTTAGCCTTCCAGTTCATGAATGTGATATATTGCTCAGTTTATTTATATCTTTAATTTCTTTCAGCAATGTTTTATAGATTTCAGTATATAAGTCATTGGCATCTTTTGTTAAATTTATTCCTGAGTACTTTTTTAAAAGCTAGTGTAAACGTTATTGTTTTAAAAATTCAAATTATTTCTACATTTTCTATATATAAATCAAATTGTGTATAGTAATTGTGTATTGATCTTGTAAGGGAGAAGGAATAATATCTTTTCGTCCCTCATTGCAAGGTTGATGGCTGACACCTTTATAAAGGAAGACAAATTAATGAGAGAAAAGCATAACCAATTTACTTAACCAAAGTTTTAGATGACATGGGAGTCTTCAGAAATAAAGAACCCAGGAAAACTGTGTATTTTTATTCTTGGGTGTAGTGAAGAATGGGCAGTCATGTGGAAGTATAATTGGACAACAAGGAGGTATGACCTCAGCAATGGTTTTTAGTTTAGATTCTTCTTGGCCTCTGGGTAGAGGGGAAGAACTCTGTGGAAGGAGACTCTTATGACTTACTTTCAGGGAAGATAGGTCAGAGAATTCTTTTATGACCATGCTTCAGAGAAGAAAGAAGAAGGTCAGAGAAGGAAAAAGGGAAGGTCAGTGAGACATTTCTACTTCTGCAGTTTTCTCAGTTTCCTTCAGCTTAAAATACTCAGTTGAAACCAAGGTGCCATATTGTGGGGTAGCATTTCCTGTGTCCCATTCATCTGATATCCTATGATCTTATTAAATTCATGTATCAAGTTTTTGTAGCTCTTTTTGTAGATACCTTAGAATTTTCTAGATAGATAGTTGTATCTTTTGCAAATAAATTTTATACTTTCAACTTTTATGCCCCTTTTCTCTTTTACTTGCCTTATTGCACTGTATAAGAGTTTCAGCACATTACTTCATAATAGTGGTGAGTGATGACAGCAGACATCATTTTCTCTGCCTAATCTTCATGGGAAAGCATTCTTTTTCCTTTTTTTTTTTTTTTTGCCATTTAGTGTGTTATGACTGTAGGTTTTTTATAGGTGCCTTGTGATAAGGAAGTTTTTCTATTCCTAATTTGCTAAGAACTTATGAATGGGTGTTGAATATTCTAAAGTGCAACTTCTGCATCTATTCAAATATGTGAATTTTCTTCTTTATTTATTAATGTGGTAAATTATATTGATTTATTCTCCAATGGTAGACTGACCTTGCATTCCTTAAATAAATCATTCCTGGCCATGGTGTAATATTATTCTTATACATTTCTGGATTCCGTTTGCTAATATTTTGGTGATAATTTTTACATATATATTAAAAATTATTTTATCTATAATTTTTTTTCTTGAAATGTCTGTGTTGGTACTGGTGTAATGCTGGACTCATAAAGAGTTGAGAAATGCTCATTCCTCCTCTATTTTCTAAAAGTGTTTTTGTTTAAAGATTGCTATCTTTTATCTCTTAATATTTCAAAGAATTTAGCATTAAATCAGTTGGGCCTGACATTTTCTTTGTGCAAAGATTTTGATCATGAATTTCATTTCTTTAACAGGTATAAGGGTACTTAAATATTAGATTTCTACAGTTTTCATTGTATTTCTAAGGAGATCATTATTTCATTTATCAAATGTATTAACACAATGTTGTTTATGATATTTGCTTTTTAACTTTCTAATGTCTGAAAATATTTTAGTTATATCTCCTTTTTAATTCCTGAATTTAGTAATTTGTGTTTTATCTTTCTTTTTTTAAAGTCTATCTAGGAATTTGTCAACTTTATTAATATTTTTAACGAATCAACCTTTTCTCTATTTTTTTTTTTGTTTTCTACTTTATTTTTACTCCAATTTTTATTCTTCCTTGCTTTTGCTTTTTGGGGGTTTCATTTATTGTTCTTTTTTAGCTTTTTAAGGCAGAAACTTAGATTATTGATTTAACTTATTTTGTTATACAGATATTTTACACGTTAGCTCATTTATATGACAGATACCATTATTGCTGTCATTTTACAGATAAAGCAACTGAGGCTCGGTGAACTTGTAATGCCTTTAGTGTCAGAGATCTAGAATGGGTGAAGCCCAGATTCAGACCCAGGCGTCGTGGCTCCCAAGTCTGCTTGTGGACCCTTGAAAGCAAGGGCGAGCCATAAGCATTGCACCTTTGAGAGAACTGGTAAGTTAGAACCACAGGCACTCCTGAGTGCTTCCTTCATCATTTTCTGCACGCCTCCCAGTGTGCGTAGTCTCTACCTCCTTCTCCCATTAGCATGAACCGTGTGTGTGATACAGTGTGAGCACTGGCCTGGAGGGTTCAGATCCACGTGGGTGGCCCACACACTCTTGCCAAGTGAGCATCTAAAGATGTTTTTATGTAGCTTCATCGATAATTAACCTCCACTCTCTGCCTCATTCCATGCTTCCCTACTTGCCTGCCTTCCTCCCTCCCTCCAGCCTGGGTGCTTGGGGGACTAGGTTGGGGACCTCATTGTGACTAACTTAGCAAATTCTCTAGCTCCAGGAGGCTGCCAGGACCCAGGCGGGAGTGCGGAAAGTTTTCAAGGTCTGTGCTCCAGGGTGTGTGATGCCTTGACTGCTCCCCGAAGAGCTCGCTGCTTATAATCGCAGAGTTTTTGGCATGTGCTCTCTGACAAAAGAACAGATGTTTCCTACAAGAACAAAAGAACAGGGCATAACTGTTGGCCTAACGGTTTGCCACTAATAACATTGAAAGTGGAAGCAACAAGTCCTAACGAGAAGGTCCCTACAGGATCATGAAGCCAGTGCCAGGGAATGAAAGAACTCAAGGCTGCTTTTACATTTTAATAGGCAGTGTGCTGGATGTTTGTTAACCTCTTCGGATAAATGGCAACAGGCTATTCTTTCTAGCTGTGTTGATGAATTTTGTAGCTGTACAGTAATGATGGCTTCACAAGTTTCCTTACAAGATCCCAAGCCCGTGTCCATTTCAGAGACACACTGAGAGGGTTATGACAGGCTCGGCCAACCCTGCAGCATCAGCCTACAGTCCATATATGGGGGAAGCCTTAGCTAAATTGCAGCTCTCAGCCAAACTAAAAACACCAGAGCAAGTTTTTCTCTTTGTTGCTGGCTGGAACTTCAAAGCACAAAGAGCCCACACACAAAAATGAAAAACAAAGAACCCTAAAAAAGGACCCAGCCTCAGAGCCCACCCCAAAAAATTTAGTATGCCTCTTGTGTTACAAACCTTTCACCCCATATGTCACGTGTCACCCAGGGTTTCAGTCGCATTCCTAAAGTCATTCCTCTGATTTTTCATCTCTGAAGAATATCTTCTTTGAGGTTGTCCTTGGCTTTAGCCCAAAGGAAAGACATTTTGTTCTCTTTCTTTTCCCCAGCCACCTACCCTGACTATTTCTTCAAACTAACAGACATAGGGAAAATATTATCTAAAAATTTTTAACTTCTTTTACCACGAACTGTTATCACCAAAAACGTTCAACGTTCGGGTTTAGTCAGTCATAGTTAGCAAAGAACATTCACAGCATCTCTGACGTCAACAGGATCTTGAGAAATCTCTCCTCCTATTTCCCTTGGACTTTAGCGAGAGGGATGCATATATATGCCAACGTGGCAACTGGACATCCTCATTGATATTTGTGGCCCCAGCTTATACCTTTTTCCTGATGTTCTGTTTGCTGATTAGCATGATTCATTATATAATCTCCTCTTCTTTAGGAAGAGGTTTTCAAAATATTTACCATTATTCTAGCAATTTATATAAAATTTTATGGTGCTGTTACTGTAATGGGAATGTGGGAAATCAAGAACCAAAACCTCAAAATGACTGAAAATTTTCATAAGGCAAATCCATTAATAACATATACATTTGAGTCCATGTTATTTTTCTGAAAATGTGGTTGAGCTAATGCAATTATGAAAATGTTGTTTCTTAGAAATTAAAAAGTTTTGAGTTCAGTAGGTACCTAAAATAGTTGTAATCACTCTTATATTTGGGCTCCAAATATGGGTTACATATTTAGACTGAATGCCAGTTGAGGAGCACATAAAAATACCCCAATCCTATGATTGTGTTATTCATAGTTATACATTCTGTGTCCCAGAGACTAAATATCAACAGTAGATTCCTTCAAAGATTGGATGGGTATGAGTGGCAAGGTGACAGATCTTAACATCTTGAGATGGTGGCAGAATTGAGTTAGCAGTTTTTATAAAAAATAGGCCAGGATAGAAGTTAGACACATCAGTGCTGCTGAATTTGTTTCGAATCAACTGTGTGGCTCCAGGCAGCCAGATTTCTCTCTGTGTGCTGGTTTCCTGATCTGCAAAATGGGCATAAATGTGTTTTCTCTAGGACCTCTCTCAAAATTCTCACGAAGATAAAACAGGCCTTTATTTGGGATAGAGCTTTGAAAGTAACACATATTACACATGTTACTCAAGCTGTCCTTAAGACGGCATGCTGTGATTTTGAGGCAGCCACATCAGAAGATGTCTGGAGCTCTCAGCCTCTGTGGGGCGTGCTCAGACTGAATTGAAATTTTTGGTCAGTGAATCCTGGTGGCTAATGACTATTTTCCATATTTAAGTCATCTATTTTAAGTTTATTTTCATGACATGATTCAGAACTTAATAGAAACAAATGTGCATCTATTACAATTCAAAATTGAACTACCTGGGTGGCGTTGGGTGGGAGAAACAGATTGAAATGAGAGAGAGAGGAAAACTTAACATTTCTATGGTAATAAAAAAGTAGTCTTTACAAAACTGAAAACACTAAAAATTGAACCAACAGAAATGGTATGATGGAACCAACAGAATTTCTGCATTTGGAAGCAAACTAGAACTTGGTGACTGTACTCAGGTCTCTCTCTTCTTTTCAAACTGTTGGATGCCTTTGCTTCATCGTTGTGTTGTCGATGTTTGCATTTTAATTATAACAATGACACTTACCTATCCCTATTTAAGCCATCATGAAAACTCTGTGTTGAAAATCTGCTTGACTGGATAAAAAGTCTAAAAAACACAGAAAGATAGCACTCCTGTCCCCAAGCCATATGGGCAAGTGATTTGAGGTCATTTTCCAGCAGGAGTGACAAATTTAACACAAGTGATCTCCCCTTTTACTGCCCATTTCTTGTGGGTAAGGTCTGGGTCAGTGATCATAGTCGATGACTACAAATGAGTGGATTTCTAGGGAGACACACATGTTCCTGTTAGCCTGTTAATATGTTGTGGTTTGCCTGAGAGAGTGCAAGGTTTACCCCTATGGCCCAGCCTGATGATTAATTGTACCTCTTTCCATTCCTGAGGTGTTTGGATTTGGGTGAGAAGTCGCGCGATCATACTACTCATGCTGGGTGCTGAGCACACAACCTGGGCATTAGGGTCCCTGTGTCCTCATCAAGTGGGAGGTCTGGCCCAGGTAACATAAACCAGTTGTCATTGCATGGGATCAGGGTAGATCTAGGTGCTTTGATGACAATCTGTTGGTCTGTGCTCTTCCCTTTATGTATATTCCCAAACTAATGTCTCACTAAATTCACTAAGTGCAGTTTCTGACTGCAACATTTCTATTTGGGAAAGATGCCAAAATTGTCAGCCAGTAAAGACTTCAGCCCTTTCTTGGCCAATTTGCCAAAAAAACATCAGAGGGAGTTATTGATCTTTTCCCTTGTACTCATTCAGCTGATTTTTTTTTTCCGTTTCCTTTCTTTTCTTCTTCTTAAGCTGACATCCAATAAAAGCTATTTCTTTCAGGTGCCAGCAACATGTCAGCACCAATACCATTCACAATATGAGTTGTAGCCTCCCCCATTTCTCTACAAAGGTCCTTTTCTTGGTTCTGTTGACAGCACAGGTATTTGTCAAACTTTGCTTTCCTCTTGCATTTATTCATGGGTGACTTTGAACCTGGACTGGTTCGTGGGACTAAATTCCATGTGGATACTCTATTTGAATACTACTGCAAGTTGCGTGCTTAAAAAAATATAAAACAGTATACACTGCTTATCAGAGCAATCTTATTTTATACTTAATTTATAGAAGAAAGCCCAGTAGATTAGTCAGGGACATCTAAATAGCTGGTTTCTCAGCAGGAGCAAATTTTGGATTTGGCCTTCAGAAATATGAACGATTCTTTCAGAAATCTCTGGCACTGCATAGTGCTATGCTTCCCCCCATGAGAGCTGTTCACTTACCACCTCTTCCTAGCTGGAGACCCAGGCTTACACTAGCCTATGAGGTACGATGAAAGAGGAAGCCTAGAGAATTGCAGGCATAATTACCACAGAGATAGGCAAGGCAGTTACGGTGACAATAAATATTTAAGATATCTGGGAAGTTGTTTTGTTTTTTTGTTTGTTTGTTTGTTGGTTTTGAGACGGAGTCTCACTCTGTTACCCAGACTGGAGTGCAGTGGCATGATCTTGGCTCACTGCAACCTCCGCTTCCCAGGTTCAAGTGATTCTCCTGCCTCAGTCTCCCAAGTAGCTGAGATTACAGGCATGTACTGCTATTTTTGTATTTTTACTAGATATGGGGTTTCACCATGTTGTTCAGTCTGGTCCTGAACTCCTGACCTCAAATTATCCACCTGCCTCAGCCTCCCAAAGTGCTGGGATGACAGGCATGAGCCACCATGACTGGCCTCTGAGAAGCTTTTTTTTTTTTTTTTTTGAGATGGAGTTTTGCTCTTGTTGCCCAGGTTGGAGTGCAATTGCACGATCTTGGCACACTGCAACCTCTGCCGCCTCTGGGAAGCTTTTAAGACCAGGATGGTGACAACTACGAACAGATTAATATACAAACTGATGGTTGGGACAGGCATTTGACAAATTTGCAACTGATTTGCCTGACTTATCCTGAAAAGAGCTCACCCTTTCACTTGAATGATGCTGGCCAGAACACTCTGCTGCTGCTTGAAGGTATTTCCTGTGTGGAGTCCCCCAGTGAGTACAAAAATATGGGCCAAGAGTAGCCCAGACATCTGAGTAACTCTCACTCAATTGTGGATCCACATGAGAAGAAGTAAAACCAATGTCCCGTTTCCTACACTGACACGGAAGATGCTGCTTGTCTCAGCACCTGGCTTGTCAAGCAGCCACGCTCAAACCTCTGATCCTCTTTGATCCTGCCTGACACTGCTTCATAGAATTTCAATTCCAGAGGAACTCAAATCAGCAATATTTTCTTTATGTTCTAGTTCTTCCCCCCTCTTGCCCACTCACCTTTTCTCATAGTCCTAGGATCAGGGCTTTTGAGGTTATATAACTTAATATGAGTAGGAATCACTTGGAGTTGGGAAGAGAGAAGTGTTGATATAGTGGAATACAAGTAATTTACAAATTGATATATGCATTCTAAATATATGCCTGTGAAATTTCTGCAATTCTAAAATGGGAATAGAACCAAAATATTTAGTCAGACATGATAATTATAGCTAACATTTATTGAAGGCTTATAACGTGCCAGCTACTGTTCTAATTGCTTTACGTTTATTAGCTAATGTTCTCATAATAGTCCAGTGAGACAATTCTTATCACCATTTTACGAAGCAAGAAACAGGCACAGAGAGGTTGTGACTTGTTCAAAGTCACCACTGGGTGATGGAGTCAATATTGGGACCCATGTCTTTGACTCCCCCAATCACAGTGCCATGCTGCCAGTACAGTTCCAAAATGATAGTAACTCTTGCCCCTTAACTTTGAAAGAGTTTTGCAAAGCCTGGTCTCATAATATGTAAAGAACAGTGCTTGAATTTCTTGCCTCATAAGTATCAATAACCAGAAAGTAATATTTTGGAAAGCAGTATCCCTGGATATTAATTAGCTTGCTTATGTATGTTAGCACCCTAGGGCTGCTGTGATAAGGGACCACAGACTAGGTACTAGGTGGCTTAACACAACAGCATTTTCTTCTCTCCCAGTTTTGGAGGCTGGAAGTCTAAAGTGGAGGTGCTGGCAGGGATGTGCTCTCTCAGAAGGTTCCAGGGCAGGATCCCTCCTGGTCTCTTCCAGCCTCTGCTGGCTGCTGGCTCTCCTTGGCCTTCCTTGCCTTGTGAATGCAGCTCCCCACGGCCTGCCTTCATCACACAGAATTCTCCCTGGGTGTGTGTCTTTGTCTACATTTTTCTCTTCTCAAAAGGACACCAGTGGCCGGGCACGGTGGCTTACACCTGTAATCCCAGCATTTTGGGAGGCTGAGGTGGGTGGATCACCTGAGGTCAGGAGTTCGAGACCAGCCTGACCAATATGGTGAAACCCCATCTCTACTAAAAATACAAAAAGTAGCAGCATGTGGTAGCACGCGCCTGTAATCCCAGCTACTTGGGAGGCTGAGGCAGGAGAATCACTTAAACCCAGGAGGTGGAGGTTGCAGTGAGCCAAGATCACACCATTGCACTCCGGCCTGGGGAACAAGAGAGAAACCCTGTCTCAAAAAATAATAAAAAAATTTAAGATTTAAAATTACAATTAAAATTTAAAAAAAGGACATCAGTCGTTGGATTAGGGCCCCCCAATCCTGGTATGACTTCATTTTAACTTGATGACATCTGTAGAAACCCTATTTCCAAATAAGGTCACCCATGGTCTTGGAGTTTGGACTTAAACATACCTTTTTGGGGCACACAATCAACAATAATATACATATCTAATTAGCCTGTATTATCACCTATGTTTTAATTTTGAGAATAAAACAAGAATAATGTTTCCCCATGCAATTTCTTTCTTTTTCCTCCAAAACACATGCATAATTCTTTTATTTCTTCCTTAAAACAGCATCTAATCTACCAGCAGATGTTTCTCCCATAATAACAGGCACATAATACCCCACTTGAGAGGTCTGGGATTGGGTGGAGTGGTTCTCATGATAGCTTTTTTATTTTGTAGCGGACCCCTTTTTATTTTGTCTTCTAAATTGCTTTTCCATTACTTGTTTATAATATTAACAGCTAAAACCACAGTATGGGAGTGATCATATAGTTGACATTTACAATTAACGTTATACAGCCAGAATTTCTCCATGTTATTGCAAAAACTTAGCTGATGTGTTAACATTCCTTATAATATTTCAGCCAATTAAAAATATACAATTAAATCTTTCTCATAGTTGACACTTAGATTCTTCTCATTTTTTTTTCTTTTGTATTAGTACTACAGTGAATATTTGTGCTTATATCTTTTTCTTCTTTTGTTCTTTTTAACAAGAGGAATTTCTAAAAAAATATAATATTTTGGTGTATCTTGATAGCCTATCGTTTGATATTGCTTGCTGTCACAAATTGCACTAGAATCACCCCAACATTGTTATCACAATCTGATCATTTAAAATTTTGTTTTAAATAGCCTTTTATTGTTTACATTTTAACTTCATTATTATCATGGTTGAACAGTTTTCAAATGTGTTTCTTCTAAACATTAAAATCATCTGGGAACTGAAAAAAAAAAAGACAGCTTATCTTTCTTTCGCAGTTGTTAAAAACATGTGAGAAGGAAGTTAGATTGAATTAGTTGCATAACCCAATATTTAAGGTTTCCTGAGTTGATACAGCCACATATTTTTTTTGTTCCTAATGCCAAAATTTTTAAATTTCATACTTAAAAGAGCCAACATTAACACACACACACACATTTGCTATATTAAGATACATTTGTTAGAACAAAAGACCCAGTATATGTAACTTGTTTTACTTAAATAACATTATTTGAATGTATACTGTGTTCAGTGGTGCTTTCCCCCTAGTTTAGTATGGTGAACACATGTCCTAAATATTCAGTATAAACTTGTTGAATGGAAGATGATTCACCCCTTAATGAATTTATAAGTATCTGCTTAAATTATCTTTAGTAAATAAAATTACCAGCTTATCAGTCACTTTTCTAAAATGGCTGCTTGCTAAATTAATTTACAAGTTTATCAAATTGCATTTATGACTTTAAAATGTATAGTAATATGCATTGATTAGGAATTTATCTCAGATTTCTGAAATGTGTGCATTTAAGATTCTATGGATGATTAGAGGAGACATATTTCAAAAAGTGTATATCCTCAATGATATGTCTTTTAAGTCACACCTACTTTATATCAGTTGTTTATAATTGAATCCAAGAGGGTCCAGTTGAGGGCTGGCAAAAAGGGATTTTAGTTAATCTATATGATTATCCATTATTTAAAAGTTAATTATGTTTTTTCACTTCTGTTTTACAGCAAGTGTGGAATTGGCCCCAAACTCAGAGTCCGTCTGGGTACTCAGTCCTGTGTCAGTTTAATGTTGGTGTCCTTCTTGACCTCCTCCTATAGACTTTGTGTTGCCTTAGACTTAGGAATCTTGTCCTTGGCGGATGGGACAGTGAACTCAGTCTTCATCCACTGACTTGAGGATTTAGTAGCTCTTGATTCGGATCCAAGAACCACACTATGAGCTAAGTAATCAGGCTTCCTGCTTTATGAGCTAAACATGTATATGTATATAATATGTATATATTGTATATGTATGTATATTTTATATATATATGTAGTTGAACAACATGAGTTTGAGCTATGCAGGCCCACCTATGTGTTGATTTTCTTCCACTTTTGCTACCCATGAGATGGCGGACCAAAGCCTCTTCTTCCTCCTCCTCTCAGCCTGCTCAACATGAAGATGATGAGGATGAAGGCTTTATGATGATCCACTTCCGTTTAATGAATAGTGACTATATTTTCTCTTCCTTATAATTTTTAATAACATCTTTTATGTAGCTTACTTTATTGTAAGAATACGAATATAATACACATGACATATAAAATATGTGCTGATCAATTGTTTGTGTTATTACTAAGTCTTCCAGTCAATAGCAGGCCATTAGTGGTTAAATTTTTGCAAAGTCAAAAATCTTACATAAATCTACTACTGTGTAGGGGGTCAGCACCACTAACTCCCATGTTGTTCAAGGGTCAGCTAGACACACATGCACACATATATGCACACACATATCTGTATATAACTTTTAATCTTATGTCTTTTGTATTCTGGGCTTGGTTTGCAATTCTAAAGTGAACGGAGAGCCAACTATTTGTCATAGAAAAGGAAAAAGATGCTACTAAAATCAACTTCAACTGCTTTAGCACCAAAGAGAGTAGCATTACTTATTCCTAGACTGATACCTTTTTATTTAAATAAAATATGTTGATAGAGAACTATTGGTGCAATGTTTGAGTGCTCAAGAGACTGGGTTGGAGAGAAACAAGGAACCTAAGTGATAGCTTATGTCCTCTGCAGGAGAAATGAAGAGGGGTAAGGAGGAGAAAAAGTGAGAATGAGACTGGCTTTCTGGAAGTCTGAGGAGACACGCTAGCCAGTGAGGATTTCCTGTTAGTGGTGGTGACAGAAAGAAATGAAAAAGAGGAGGAATGTCTAACATTTAATTTTAAATTGTTTCTTCATGGTGTTACTATTTAATTTCATTCCTCTCTCTAGGCCTTTGGTGAAGATGAATTTCCTTCATCTCTCTAGGCCTTTGGCGAAGATGAATTTCCTTCATCTCTCTAGGGCTTTCAATGGAAAGAGGCCATGTTCCCTGTCTGGGTAGACAAGGGGCCAGTGAAAAGAGAACAGGTAGGAAAGGCATTCTACTTCTTGGAAGTAATATCCTTGGTTTGATTGTGCATAACACCATCCTTGAATTCTCTTCGTTAGAAAGAGCTCCTGTATCAGCTAAGAAGGCCTCCATTTGAGCCAACGCTATTCCCAATCAGCCTTGTCTGATCCCAGAATGGCTCTTCTGAGAACAGGAAGGTTTTCAATTCTTCCTACCACACCAACCAGTCTCAGGTAGGTTGCAGGACCTGGAACATCATAGCAAGTGATATTTGGGGTTCACATTGATTAGAGTCTGCCACAAAGGGCTACAGAATCTTCCAAAGGCTGTGATCCAAACATCTGCCTGCTTATTCTTGGGGTTGATCCTGGTCACCTGGAGTCTGCTTCCCAGCTTGGACAGAATAATTCCTGGACTCTGCTCTCCCTTTCCTCATATTTTTTCTTTATACTTTGCCTGGTTTCAAATCTAGATTTTTGATCTACCTCCATATTTGTCTCTAGAATAATAGGTGCCCATTCAGTTTCCCATGATAAGTCTTTTGCCTTTGTCCACAGCTGGAGGGCATTCCCTACATTTCCAGCCTTAGCTTTTCCCAGAAGGACTAGCAGAGTCTCAATCCTAATTACTATTTAAAGTAGTACCCAAACCAGACTAGCACAACTCACCAAGCCCCAGTCCTCCCTCCTGAGCTACTATAAGTTCAACTGGTTGACTGGTCCCCTAGCCCCTTGCAAAGAACATGCACTCAATGTATATTTCTTAATAAATGGATGAATACTTTATTCTACTGGAGAGATAGAAGAAGAGAAACAGGAGAGACATTCTAGTAGAAAAGTAATATTAATGAGGCCAAATGTGTTCATTTGTCTTTTTACCTAATAGACAATAAAAGATTGCCCTATTAGAAGAGAAGCTCAAGGCTGGACGAAATGCCAAAGTGTCTTTTGTAAGAACTTTCCAGATATCCTTAAGCTTGTGATAGTCACCCCTGGAGTATCTTTTTTAAAGTTCAAAGATATCCATTATAGATGCAGGGGGGAAAGCACAAAAAGGAAAACAAAAACATACGTAGAGTTACATTAGGCAGGATTTAGGTACATACAGAAATTCATTAGTGAGGTGCCTAACTTTATATATATATATATACACACACACACACACACACACACGCACAGAGCTGTTTTTAGCTACAAATCTAGTGTGGTCTCTCCCCAAACCTAGGGAGTAGCTGAGATTCTCTGTGGGTGGAGAACCTGCTGGATGAGAATGTTGGGGCTTGTGCAGAAAATAGGATTGAAAGAACCATGGTCAATCTCATGTTTAGGAAAATTCTTGTAAAGATTTTTGTTTCTACTTGACTAGGTCATTAAAGATAAGGCACTAAAGATAGGCAATCTAAATGCCATTTTACACATATGGTGGATGGATAACTCTGTGTCCTCATATTTCTGAACCTTATATGTAAAGTAAAAGTTACCTTATATGTAAAGTAAAAAAAGTACCAATCCATATTTCCACTTCCTTTTTGCCATCTCTTGTCGACTAGACACTTTTCAGGATTTTTCCAAGGAGAGCACTGAAACTTTGTTTTGCTTTTCTGCAAAGATTTGTATATGAAGTTGTGTTTGCTGTCTGGCTTTATGAGAGACTCCATGCTTTTCTGACACTAACATTCTGGGGCTCTTTGTCCAGTCCTTCCTCCTTGGTCCTCCATGGTTCTCCTGAGATGCAGGTAACTGAAGGCTTGAGCTGGGAAAAAGCTTTTGTTCTATGATGATTCTAAGTCTTACTCTTTCATCACAAACACTAAAGTGCAGTTCTAAGCGCAAGTACAGTTTTCCTCATCTTTATGTATTTTTCCCAAGATTTTATAGCAAAGTTTTTGTTTTCTGCACCACCTCTACCCCGCTACTCCTACTTCAGCCCCTACACAGCTGAAAGCCGGAAACTGAAACATTTTTGACTGGAGCAGACAGGTGGAAGATGCTGCCAAACCATGTGTACTTACATTGGTATAGACTGGAATTTTGTGTAAGAAAAATTCACATTTTTAGAATCTTTACTATATTTGACTTACCTGGGTTAAGCAATTGCATATTTTCATGGGGAGAGGCCCAAGGCCTAGTGGCTTAATGTGCAAATCACAAGGCTGGGGCTCCGGAGGAAATCCTAGCCTCTGAGAAGTGGCAGCTGTGTAAAAACTCAACATAGGAAGGACAAACTGTTTTCTTCTTCTCACCATTGCCCTCTGTCTTCCTCTTCTTCATCTCTCAGCCTATGTGAAAAAATCAGATCCAGGCCAGGCACAGTGGCTCACGCCTATAATCCCAGCACTTTGGGAGGCCAAGGCGGGCGGATCACGAGGTCAGGAGTTAGAGACCAGCCTGGCCAATATAGTGAAACCCTGTCTCTACTAAAAATACAAAAAAACAAAAAACAAAAAAAAGAAAAAACAAAAACCAACCCGGGTGTGGTGGTGCGTGCCTGTAGTCCCAGCTACTCCGGAGGCTGAGGCAGAAGAATTGCTTGAACCTGGGAAGTGGAGAGGCGGAGGTTGCAGTGAGCCAAGATCATGCCACTGCACTCAAGCCTGGGCGACAGAGTGAGAGTCCCTCTCAAAAAAAAAATCAGATCCATTTTCCTAAAACAACTATCTTATCCCTAAGTTAATTTCAAACCTACATGTCATCTTCCAGACCATATTTAACATTGACAATTTTATACTGACTTGGTAAAATTGGTGACAAAGATTATTCCACATTTTTGTTTCAAATATAATATAGTCATGTCTAGTCAGTGTCAAGACAGTTTTCACCCAAATTCTGAAGGCTAAGAGAAGCATTCACCTCAAGCAGGAATGTCCCTTCTGCTTTGTGGTCATTTCTAGAAAACTTAGTGACTTTCAGAGTTCACACCTGAAGGACAAGTGAGGTCAACTTGGGCTTCTTTATTTCAATTTTACTGAATTTTGATCATTAATCAGATTATATCTTTAAATTTATGGCATACACTACATACACATGCACTCATATTTACCTATAGGAATAATTGCAATAAATGTATTTTTTCTCAAAGTAACACAATTTTAACTAAAAAAAAATCCAACAAGCAACTAAATTGGGACTAATCATTCATACACAAAATGCTCCTTTTGTTTTTGTTTTTTGGCTTTAGAGAGAAACCAAATCAACGATCTGTCAGACTCCTACCGCACATTAGAAGTAAGTCACGCGTAATACAATGATCTAATATTAGATAGCAATGGATCTTATATAAGAACTGAAAAAAAGTTAGAATTGAAACAATGTCATGTGAACATGAGGGGGTTGGAAATATTTTTAAACGAATGTTTCTCATTGTTGCATGGGTAGTGAGAGTAACTGCCAAAATGTGGGCAAAACTGGAGAATTATGCAATGGGAGGAAAGAAATCAAAACCTGCAACATAATTTTGACTCTATTGTTATCAGAATTTTTTTGGAATTAATAATAAAATTGAGCAGGTGGAATGAGTCAGTTGATGACTCAGGAAGGCCCATAGGAAACTTAAAACTGTTAAGCAGAACACTTGTTCCTCACCACGAATTTCAGTTTTCTTCAAATGGTCTTTCAACAGAAAATTGCATCTGTAAGATCTCTATCCCCCACCCCTACAACCCACATTTGACTTTAAGCCTTTATGAGAATGATAGACTGCCGGTACAGATTGTTCACGTCTTTTTTTTTTTTTTTTTTCAATTTTAGGAAAACAAATGAAACAAATGTTTTGAAGATGTCTCCAGAGGTGCCCAGTAGAAGGGGGTGGGAATGGAGATGTAAGCGAGGAAATGGTCTGTTTTGTGCCTTGAAATAAACAGAGTACTCTGAGTTCTGGCCTTGACTCCCACCCGTATCCTTGAAATGGTTTTCTAACTTGTCTCCCTGGTAGAATCTCTCTCAAGTGTTTCCATGACACTGCTGGAGGAGTGATCTTTGTGAATCACAGTGGTGATCATGATGACCTTCTGATGAGAATTAGGCAGTATCTCCCCCTGCGGCTGCCCCACGTCCTTCCACTGTAGCTTCTTTCATCTACTTTTAGGCTCTGTGAAACCCCTACACCCTGGTACACATTTGTCTGTCTCATAAGGATGGCGACTCCATGTGGATGCTGACTTTGTTTTTCACTTATCTCTGTGGTTTTTTTGTTTGTTTGTTTTTTGTTTTTTTTTTGAGACAGAGTCTCCATAGCCCAGGCTGGAGTGCAGTGGTGTTATCTCAGCTCACTGTAAGCTCTGCCTCCCAGGTTCATGCCATTCTCCTGCCTCAGCCTCCCGAGTAGCTGGGACTACAGGCACCCGTCACCACTCCCGGCTAATTTTTTGTATTTTTAGTAGAGATGGGGTTTCACCGTGTTAGCCAGGATGCTCTCGATCTCCTGACCTCGTGATCTGCCCACCTTGGCCTCCCAAAGCACTGGGCACTTATCTCTGCTTTCAATTGTTGCCTCCTCCTGGAGGCCTCCCCCATCTCATGCCTTGCAAGTTGTCCATTGTACCTTCTCCTCTGTTCTCAGAGGATTTGGTCTCTGCCTCACTTAGCACTTCATAGTGCTCTGTCATGATTCACATGTTTTCTGCACTGTGTGTTCCCATCATAGTTGACTGAAACCTTCATATTTGGTGACCTTAGTAGTCCCTTACAAAGTCATATTCCTTAGTAGGTTTCAGAGGAGAGCATGCTAACAGCATGAACATACATTTTTCTGGTTGACTTTTGTATTCCTGACTGAGTCTCATCCTGGTATTTCTTGGACCTGTGGCAATGCCTTCTTTTTGAGGAAGTCCCCTCATCACCCAGTCTTCCTGCTGATACTCTCATGGAGACGGTGCCATTGCTGAGGGTGCTGTATCCTGGGGCTTCCAATCTTCAAGGTCCTCACATGTTTGCACTATCCTGAGTTACATGTGCCAGAAGGTCCCTGTATTCTGTGTAGCTATAAGTGCAATGCCTTTTTCTTCTCAGGATTCACCCTTCGTCCCCAGGGAGGGACAGGCCGAGAAGCAGGTAGGCAAGAGACTGAGGCAGATCACCATCAACTGGTTTTTCAAATTCAGTCATGGTGTATATCCAGTCTCAATCTCAGCTGCAACACCCTGGTACCTTTCTCTTTCCTTTCATCACTTAGGCAATCACAAACATTTAGTAGGTGCTTTCTGAAACTTCAGAACGCTCTGGGACTCTCTGAAGAAGGCCTTTGTGTTCCTGCAAACCTCCCTCTTGTCCCCGACCAGTTTGGTCACTGTTGTTTGGTACCCAACCCTGCTCTATTTTTCTTTATGCTGGTAAGGCTCTGATGCCTTGTAACTGAATTCCCAGGCTGAGCCACACTTCTGGTACACTTAACCGAAAGCCTGGAGAGAACCTCCAAGAAATATTACAAAGCAGGGAACAAAAATCTTAAAACTGGACACTGAAAATGGATGCCTTATAAGGGCCTCTCAGAATTTCAAATTCAATTGCCTCTGAAGCCCCCAGACAATACAATATTCTACTCTAAATAAAAACCACATACATCATGGTGCCTTTTTTTTTTTTTTTTTCTTTTTGAGATGGAATCTGTCTCTGTTGTCCAGGCTGGAGTGCAGTGACGCGATCTCAGCTCATTGCAACCTCCACCTCCTGGGCTCAAGTGATTCTCCTGCCTCAGCCTCCCAAGTAGCTGGGATTACAGGTGCCCGCCACCATGCCCGGCTAATTTTTTCATTTTTAGCAGAGATAGGGTTTCACCATGTTGGCCAGGCTGGTCTCGAACTCCTGACCTCAGGTGATCCACCCGCCTTGGCCTCCCAAAGTGCTGGGATTACAGGTGTGAGCCACCGCACCCGGCCCATGGTGCCTTTTATTAACATTATTGAAATATAGCTCTTCATTGACATCTCAGCTCTCTATTCCAGGAAAGAATGTCTACTTTATTTTGGTAAAATTGAAGGAATACCTAAAATATTCCCACCTGGAACACAAGGATATTGTGGTTTCAAATCTCAGTCTCCTTTTAAGAGGATATACTTTTAGTTATCAAATTTTTCTTACTACTGGGGGATTTATACTCAAATTACCAGTGGCGCACCCTACTGCCTGATTGCAATGATTTTCAGTGTGTGATGGACACTGTATTTGAGAGGTGTTGATCTGAAAGGAAGTTAGAGATGTCATACCTATTACCACTATGCATAATTTGAAAGTGGAGTGGAAAGATCTAGAATAGTAGAATAACAGATAACCTTAGTAATAATCTTATCCTTAGATACTGCTAGACTTCTATGAAAATTTGTCAGTACCATTCCACTCTCACTTTTCTGAAAAACTGAGTGTTTCAGAGTTCAGCATTTTTCTGATTTTATAATTTATGTCACATTTCTAGTACAGTGCGGCAGCATTCCCTAGTAAACCCCTTAATTGTGATATTTCACAATTGCCAATCAGGGATCATGGCCAATGGCAGGAAAGCAAAAGTATCCACAGCAGGTTTTGAAAAACAGTCATGAGAGGCAGCTGGCATGCACCTTTGCTCTCTTCCTCTCCATCACTGTCTCTGACTTGCTGCCTGGAAGATGAATTTAGCTATCTTGGATTCTGAGGATGAGGCATGAGGAAGGTGAGCTGGAAAGACCCTAGGTGCTAAATAAGCCCAGACAGCTCACCTCTGGGCCTCATTCGCATGACAGAGAAAAAAACTTTCTATCTTGTTTAAGCCACTGTTTTTAAGCTATTTTTTTCCCTCTGTCACATACAGCCAAACCAAACCCTAAATGATTCAGGTATTACGGAGAATGAAGATCCTAGATTTGGTGAGATTTTTAATTACTGCGCTGACCTAGTCAGTCGATGTCTCAATTTGTGTATGAGAAAGCCACGTATAAATGTATTATATTTTAGTGTGCACTATGCAGCTGATTAGATTTTCTGCATGAAAATGTGAAAGTACTACAAAAGAATTCAAAATAAAGTAGAATTTATGGACTTGGGGTGGGTCCTCTTAACTTTCCTCCTTTATCTTTGGAATAATTCTTTTTTTAAGTTTACACAAAATTAACTCATCACGGGAGAGGAAACTTCTTCCTCATCCTAACAGTAAGTTTAACAAGTACTGTAGTTTGTTTTTGCCTCAATATTCCTGATTCACATAGCATAGTGTTTAATATTGACCAAAAGATGTCTTCAGCTCACATCAGGCAGAGGAAGCGGTTACCTGATGCTGTGGTCTGTATGTCTGTTTCTCCCCTGGATTCATACATTGGAACTTAATCTCCAATATGGTGATATTAGGAGGCGAGGCGTTTTGGAGGTGGTTAGGTCTTGAGAGCAGAGCTCTCATAGATGGAATTGCTGTCCTTATAAAGGAGGCTCCAGAGAGCTCCCTCACCCCTTCCACCATGTGAGAATATAGCAGGAAGACATCATCTATGAAGCAGAAAGGGGGTCCTCACCAGACACCAAATCTGCCAGCACCTTGATCTTGGACTCCTCAGCCTCCAAAACTGTGAGACATAAATTTCTGTTGCTTATAAGCCACCCAGTCTATAATATTTTTTTTATAGCAGCTGCAGTAAATGAAGATGCCTGACTACATTGACTAAAGAGAAGATAAAACCTAATTTTAGAAAAGTTTCTTCTCATTTATTTAGGGCTTGATTCTTCCGGTACCTGGGCTGTATTCCAATGGCAAATCAGAACTTCTCTGTGTATCTAAACACTGGCTTCCTGTAGAGCTGGGATTGGTCCCTCAGAACAATTGTTTCCACACTGACTTGTGGGAATCTCTTTGAATGTTTTGAAAGTTCAAGGGTTGGCAGAGTCTGGGATGGCAGGACTCTAAAGAGCTCTGAGTCAGGATATGCCTGTGCTGGTAGCTGGTCATTCCAGCTATGGATGGGTTTTATAACTATTTATGTTATTAGCAAAATATTTTCTCTCCAGCAAAGGCCCAAATTACATTGCAACCTTATTTATTTCATTTTATTTTTAAAATTTTATCTTTTGGAGACAGAGTCTCACTCTGTTGCCCAGGCTAGAGTGCAGTAGCATGATCTTGGCTCACTGTAACCTCTGGCCTCCCAGGTTCAAGTGATTCTCCTGCCTCAGGCTCCTGAGTAGGTGGGATAACAGGCGCCTGCCACCACATCCGGCTAATTTTTGTATATATATATATTTTTAAGTAGAGATGGGGTTTTACCAGGCTGGTCTTGAACTCCTGACCTTGTGATCCGCCTGCCTCGACCTCCCAAAGTGCTGGGATTACAGGTATGGACCACCGCACCCCGCCTGTAGCCTTCTTTTGTAACTAACATATATGCTCTTTTTACAGATTTCCTTGACTAGGGACTAAGATGGTTAATTTGTGGCTCTCATGAGATACAGGCAGTGTATCATAATTATTATTTTTTTCCATGGGACTGCTCCCCTAAGTTTGCTCATCTCCAGTGCAGATATTTGCCTGTTTCACTGTGGCGTGGACAAATGAGTATGAAGGCATTTGTGCAGAGGTTTTCAAACTATGTTCTTAGATCCCGTAGGATCCCATAGAGGTGTCTCATGCTTTGGAGAAGAGAGTAAGATAGTTCTTGAACTTTCACCTGCCTGCTTTACTGACACACAGGTGGAGACTGGTGAGATGAGAGGAGGAGGCGAAATTTAAGGACATTCAATCAGACTATCATTTTCCTATACAACCATTAGGTGCCTACACATCTGTTAGTATTTTTTTTTTTTTGAAACAGAGTTTTGCCCTGTCTCCCAGGCTGGAGTGAAATGGCACGATCTCAGCTCACTGCAACCTCCACCTCCTGGGTTCAAGCAGTTCTCCTGCC